TGCGGGGGATCGAGCCCCTCCCTCAGGGCCAGTGCCCAGTCATACTTCCCTCCAGCTGCCTGGGGCACAGCAGACACTGGGATGGCGGAAAGGGAAGGAGCTGACCCTTAAGAAGCTTTGTTCTCCACCACTACCTTGGCTTCTTTAGAAATAACTGCCTCTGTTGCCAACTCATCTGAGAGCTATTCCTTCCTGTCGGTCTACGAGCTAATCCTTTTGACATTACTATCCAATCCCCAGGTAGAGCAGATAGTGTTAACCAGGTTGGATTCAAGCCACACACCATCAGCCTAGTAGGACCCACTGGCAGGACCCTTTATCCATTAACACAGGCAACATTCCATCTGAAAAATCTGTCCTCGGGTCTGCATCTGCCTGAGGCAATGCAGAATCTAGAATGTATTTGCATACCTCTAAGTAAGACTAAAAAGAAGCAGCCAAAGGTGGGGCAAAACCCTAAGTCACCTTTCCATGGTTACAAACCCAGGGGAATCCCTTTACTTACGCCCCCTGCACAGGTAACATTTGAAAATGTGAAAAGCAAAGTTACAGTCTTCCTTTTTCAGTTCCTTGGTCTCCTGAAGAGCTGTGACCAGCTCTGCACTGACCATGTATTTTAGCAAATATGTTAAATGCAGAAAACAATCATTGCTTTTAGCTAGACTGAGTGGTAGTGTCTCAGTTTTTCCTAACCAGTCAATCCCCTGAGAGACTAATTTTAGTTCTACAAACATTATCCAGGCCTATTTCTTCCACACTACTTCCCACCCTCTACCCCCACAGAGACTTATTGCCAATAAGGCTTTGGGAGTGGAGCGTTCTGCAGCCTGAGGATTGATTACTGGTTTCCAAAGTGAGGATACAGCCTAGCTTAGTGGTCAAGACCATGGACTCTGGAGGGGGAAAGCCTAGGTTCAAATCCAGGTGCCCCTATTTACCAGCTGTGGCACTAAAAGCATGTTTGAGCACAGATTATTTCCAGAGCACTATTTTAGGTACCGAGGATAAAACAGTGAGTAAGAGGCAATCCCTTTCTCGGTGACCATAAACTCTAATGTGGAAGACAGGAACAGCTGATCACAAGTCAGCACGTGAGAGGGAGGGCGTGGTCTACTTCTCATTAACAAGCCAGTTAGCAGCTGGGAGAAAGAGCTGCAGGAAGGTAAGTTCAAGGAGTAGTTCTTGTGAGGCCAGTTCATGAAACAGACTGCAGGGGAAACTGGGGTGATTGGTAATGTCGCCTTGATTCTCATTCATGAGTTGCAAGGTCAATTAACATTGTTAAACATTTAAAACATTTATTGAGTGTTTACTATGTGCTAAACATAGTTCTAAGAATTACTTTAGATATTTTAACCCATTTAGTGCTCACAAGAAACTGAGGTGAATACTGCTATTTTCCACACATTATGACAATAATAATAATAATAATAATAATAATAATAATAATAAAGACAGAGGTTAAGAAAGCTGCCCTGTGTTACAGAGCTAGTAAGTACTGGAACAAGGATTGAAACTAACAGTATAGGTTTAGAGTAAGTGTACTGTTTCGTTTTTTATTTGAAATTCAACTTTTTTTATTGTTGTTCAAGTACAGTTGTCTCCATTTCCCCCCCACCACTCCCTCACCCCCACCCCACCCATCCCTGCCTCCCACCCTCAAACCTACCCCTTTGGCTTTGTCCATGTGTCCTTTATACTTGTACCTTGACAGCCCTTCCCATATTTTCCCCCATTGTCCCCTCCTCCCTCCCCTCTGGTCACTGTCAGTTTGTTCTTTATTTCAATGTCTCTGGTTATATTTTGTTTGCTTGTTCAGAGACAGTGTTTTTAACCAATACACTGTCTTCTTTTGACCAGAGGGACTTCTTCAAACAGGCTTGCCCGTAACAAATAGCTGATATTATACCCCAGCTATGCCCTGCCCTCACTATGTCAGAACTTGGTCTGCTTTATACCCAGAGCAGCATTTATCCTCAGTGAGGTTCAAAAGCCCAATTGTTCATCACCAAAGGAGGCATAAGGTGCAGCAGTCCTACCTAATGAAGAAGACCTGTGGGCTTGTTGTTGTGAAGGGAACAAGAGGGATAAGGGAGGCAGAAGAAAAGGAAGGTAAGGATAAGGAGAAAAACTATTCCTGGTAAGTCTTTTTTTAAAGATTTTATTTATTTATTTTTAGAGAGAGGGGAGGGGAGGGAGAGAGAGAGGGAGAGAGACCTCGATGTGCAAGAGAAATGCTGACTGGCTCCCTCTCACAAGCCCCCAGCTGCAGACTTGGCCCACAACCAAGGCTTGTGCCCTGACTGGGAATCGAACGGGAGACCTTTCAGTTTGTGGGACGACACCCAACCCACTGAGCTGCACCAGTCAGGGCTCCTGATAAGTCTTTAAGCTATTCAAGGTGAGCTCAGAAAAGGAGCCAGGAAACAAACAAACAAACAAAAAAAGAGCTGGAGAAAGCATAAAAATTGCAGTAATAAAGGAAAGAGAGTGACAAACCTAGACACAACATTAAGTTGACCTCGTCAAAAGAAGCCAATGTGACTAGATTTCATTTCTTCTGAGGAGCCCCTGGCCTCTCACTAACTCTTGCTAATTTTTAGGACAGCAGGAGTGGGAGATGGGAGGATGATGGGTCACTTTTGGTGACTTTGAATTTAAAGTGCCTGTGAGACATTCCAACAGACATGTTCACCAGGCAGCCGGATATGCAAGTCTGGAGCTCAAGGGCGAGGTCTGGCTGGACCCCAAATCTCCAGCTCTAGCCAGGATACGACACCGCCTCCCTCTGCTTTTGGCATATTCCTTCAGGAGAAACAGTAAGCCTTTCTTCGGTTTGGATCACTAATTTCAAAGGTTTTAAAGTAAACTTAGCTCAAAGATCTTGGTTGATTTACACTAAAATGAACCTGAACGTTGGCACATCCACCCCAAAGGCTGTAAGAGTTGCAGTGAGCCGAGTGGGTGACCAGCCATGTACCTAGAACCCCTCTCCACCCGCAGCCCAAGAATGTCTGGCCAGCAGGCACTCACTGCCTGCCTTCCCCCTTTACCTGGTTAGTAATCAAAACACAATTTATCCTGCCTGCTCTCCAGAACATGCCAGAAAGAAAAAGCGTCAGAAGCCTGACATGCTGCTTGTCCAACTCTGCTAATTCCTGCTAAGATGTGTATCTCATGGATAACCAAAAAGCGGCCAGGTTGCGTTACAGAAATATCTACAAAGGCCATTTGTTGAAGTTTTCTTTTCAAAACACCATTCAGTACTTATATTTCAACATCATTTAACATTCAACTTTTTAAAAATACAGAATGAAAAAAATCATAATCATAATATACTAAAAAGAGAACCTACAGTAGGTGTAGTTCTTGCATTTACAAAACAAACAATATAGGAAAACCGAAGCTGGGACTAGGACACTCTCTTAACTTCGGCTGTAGCAGGGATTTAGAACAGTTACGAAGGTACGGTGATGAAAATCCATGTGAGCTCCAAGAAACCACAAGCAGCGGAGGTTACACACTAATCAAAGGAGTACACCTGTTTGGGCTCCAGGTGGAGCTCTCACTCCGCCCTCTGAGCCTTAACCGGCCTTTCCGGTTTACTCCCGCAGTCACCACCCTTGGCCAGATGTTACAGAGGGCCAGTGAAACATGAGGGAAAAAAAACCAACAACGAGGAATCACAAGTCATAAATCTGGGTGGAAGAAAGCATTTGAAAAGGCTGGATTTGACCCGGATTTGAAAATAATGCAGCACCTCACGAGGAACACTGCCTTTCCTGAACAGACTTCATTAGGACCTTGCCTCAAGTTACACTTATAAACTACGTTTTATTAATCAAATGTTAAATGTGCCAGTGGAATACCGAGCAATGGTAGAGACTGGAGTAACTGCAAAACAGCAGTTACGTACACAAATGAGTCTCCCCAGTTAACTGAGCAGAAGCCATCTATATGTAAGGTTAATAAGCAGGGTCACTGAAGAACCGTCAGTAATAAAAATGGATGGCCTGCATAAAAGAGGTTCCCTTGAAGGAAAATACTGAGGTGAACAGAGAGACGGCTTGTCATATCTCACAGAAGAGAAAGTTCATGTGTGAGTGCGGGAGCATACTTATACAGTGTACAACACATAAGTGCAGGTATGCACATCAAGTACGAGGAGGAAGGAAATTCAAGGTCCCACACCGTGAGGTCCTAACGAACCTGTCCAACCTTTCCCTCCCACTACCTGCCATGGGATCCTTGGCTCCTCTCACAAGGGTTGACTTACTCTTCTCTGCCCTTCCCATGTCTTCACCTTTGTTCACACCCTGCTCCTGACCAGGTGTTCTAGACTGAGACTCGCTCTGCGCCTCAGTGTCCCTCAAGGTCCAGCTCGAGTCCCATGAGCTCTCCTCACGAGGCCTGCCTGACAAGCCCAGCCCAGGCGTCTTCTCCTCCCTCTCTGCTCTTACAGTCTCGGTCACTCTCTCATCAAAGAGTCCACCAAGACAGACTGAAATGTGTAAGTTCCCTCCCTCGTACACATTTCAGGTGACCATCTACTTTCTCTAACTACTGGGCGCCTCCCGGAGTCTCTGTGAATGTCAGTCCCCTCAGCTAAATGACAAGTTCTTAGGGCGGGAATTGTGTCTTCACACACCTTTAAGTCCTTCATGGCACAAGGCCAAGCCCAATATGTGACCCAATGAACACCTACTGACATGCGTAAGCAGTACCATACAATGTGCAAAGGGAAAATGCTACATTAATGATGAGTAATCTAACATACAAGATGAGAAAGAAAGAATTAGCCAGAGCTGTCTTTTCACTCAGTGCCACCTATGATAATACTAAGACCATGAGATAAGGTCAAGTACGAAAGAAAACAAAAGAGGCTTAAGTAAGCATAGACAGACAAGGACACCAGAGAATAAGATTCTCCTGGGGCAAATGTAAAAGACACACAGGGAAATCAACAACTGGTTGACGGCGATTGGATATAAAATACATACCAGTATTTCCTTGAGCATCTTTTATCTTGTTCGGTGAGGGCAACACCAGAGACGACCTGGGGAAGTGAGGGCCCTGAAGAGATGGTTGTTGCGGCAGCTGCTGCAAGGGTGTGGTGTTGAGGATGACCCTCCAGTCCACCTGGGTCACGTCTGACCTTGATCGTGCGTGCCCTGGCTTAAAAGTAGAGGTCTCATCCAGTAAGTCATTCACGGAACGAGGTCTGTTCCTCCGACGCTGACAGATGTCGAACAAATTAAAGGTCGACGCTTCCTTTTGTTCCATCCAGGAAAGATTATCCGGGGCTGTCCCCTTCTGGACCATAAACTGTTCTTTGGCAGGGAAGACATTTTGAGCTTTGGTTTCTAAGAGCCTGGTCTTGCAGTGGTCCCAAACCATGCCCCTCTCGCCCAGGGAAGCAACGTTTCTGATAGCACCATTGTCTGTTATGCTGCTGAGTACCTCGTGCCCCACCAGTTCGGGGACTTCCTGAATCCCATACACCTCTGCCTGCTGCACGGCCTTGTCTAGCTTACTGTCAAACGTAGTAAAGAAATCCTCAGTAACTTCCAAGGCTGGGCTGATATCATCCACTTCCAAAGCTTCCATGCTGTGGGCTCTGGAGACATAAGCCTGCTAAGCTGGTTCAGGAAAGGGCCTCATGAGCAGTCACCCAACAAACGGAGATCTTACGGGCAATAGAGTTCTGGGAACAACTGGAAGGAACCTCATTCGGCTGCCTGGAGCAGGCCACGCACAAGGGTGGCTGATGTTTTCCCAGCCAGGAGAAGCATTTGCTCGCTGACAATGGCCATTCACAAAGGTATCAGAAGGGAAATGTTCCTGTGAGATAATTCTTCAGTGAGATCTTTGTAAAGACAACAGGAAGTGCTTCTCAAAACAATGCCATGGCAATCCTTAATTTCCTGGAAGAAAACAAAAAGGACACCATTGACACACGGTCACTATGTTCTGTAGCACTCAAACCTGCCCAATTACATCCCCATCTTTCCATTTTCTCTACGGCAGTCACACCCACAGGTGGACGACCAATGCACAGAAGTTCCACTGTCAAGAGTACACATCACTACCTGCTTTGTATTAGAACTCACCCAGAGCAGAGTGGAACTCTTGATAGGGGGAATTAAGGTCAATAGCTTTTGCTCACACAGAGAAGCCTTTGAGAGCAATTGTGAAAAGACTACCCTGGCGAATCTCTGTGATACGTTGACCTAAAATAGTAAGCAAAAGAGACTAGGAATTCTGTAACTGGGCCTCTATGGTAATCAGTCTGAAAGTCATAAATGCATGAGTTCTTTCACAAACCTTGAAAGCACTGATAATTTGTAGAGAGGGAAACTCTGTCCCTTCACTAAACCCAAATGTAGCTGGGCTTGTACTTACTAGATTTAGGTTACGTAATGCCTAATGAAGACTGGTCTTCAGAATTCCTCCAGTGGTCCTGGAAAAAGGCTTTGAGGATTGGCCTAGGAGCACAGGTCCAGGCTCTAGGCTGAGCAGAGAGAATCCTCGCACCAATCCAGTCTCTCTGGGAAACGGCAGATCTCAGGCCAGGCCAAGCTAGGGCAGACCTTGACAGTGAGGCTGTCCAATACAGTAGACACTAACCGTAAGTGGCTGTTTAAATTTATTAAAATCAAATAAAGTTCCTCAGGCACCTTAGCTACCTTTCATGTATTCGACAGCCATGTATACCTTTGTATTTTTTTGCCAAAAAACAGTAACTAGGCAAAGTCTTTACTTCCCCTGGCCTGCTTACAAATAGGTAGTTAGGCAATCAGGAACACCTTTGCAAGCGGGTGCCTCTTAAGAACATGGATGTGCTTTCTTTTTTAAAAGTGTGTAATTTTTATGGTTAATTAAAATCATTTTTAGCTCTTAGGTCACTAAATCACTACATTTCAATCAACAGCACCAATCTACATTGATGTATGCAAGTGAACTAGGATATACAGCCCTTTATTTCAAATGTATCAAGGGGGGTTGCAGTTCACCAGAACTCTGTGGTCAACCTCTTGTAAAGTGATAATGACTGTGAATCTGTCTACTTTTATACTTTGATATGTACTGTGTAAGTGCTCCTCAAACAAGGCACGGGTTGATTTTTAGAGACAAGACCAGTTACAATGTTCTTCCAGTGACAAACAGGCTTCTGTTTCCTGTGTCTCCACGAGAACGTGAGCCTCTGGTGCTGTACCTTCGGGTTTCACTACGTCTCTAATTTTGAAGCTTGGAGGGTTTTTAAATTTTTTATCTTGTATGTGGGAGGTTAAAAAAAGAAATATATAATAAATCTTACAGCTTTTGTTCTTTCTTTACTATGACTTAAACACAAGGAACGAATATGTTTCCCATTCTATAGAGGCGGCATCAAGGTACAGAGCACTAAGCTATCCATCTCAGATTACATTACGGACATTTCTCTTAGCGCTTAAAATTCTGTATCAAATTCTTTGCTCGTGCTAGAGTGTCAATACCTCCAAAGTGATTCTTTCTTTCCCTGCTTTCCTTCCTTCCTTTTTTTTTTTTTTTAAATCAAAATATCTAGGAGTATACTCTTTGTGCTCTCTGCTCGGATTTTCACAGACTGATGAGAGGCAAAGAACCACTGATGGCCAGCAGTCCTGGGCTGTGCAACACTTCCATTGCACACGTTCTGAAACCATAGGCCTTTGAGATCATCCTTTCAACTCCAGCCTTTCGTAGAAGGAGACACTGAGGCCCAGAGGGAGCAAGAGGTCCTGTGGACACTTTCTCTGCATTGTCTCATTCGAACCTCATAAAAGGGTAGTAAAATTCAATTTTAAAACATTTCAATGCTGTTTAACAGGGCATTCTGGAAATCACTCATCTGTCCATCCACTTACCATCTAATAAGTTCATATCATGATTAAGACACTAAAGGTGGAAAGACAATAAGACACAGCTCTCGCCCTAAAGAGGTTCTCAGTCTAACATGATGCACCTAAGAAAATGAGTCCAAAAAGCTACCTTGACAGAGGATGGAAATAGATACTAGAAGCAGCCCACAGAGTTGAGCACAGAGGCACCAGGCATGTGATTGAAGATGCCGTCTTGGATGAGAGCTCAGTTAAGTTTTCCAAGGATTCCAGCCCCAGCCAGTATCTAACTGCAACTCATGCGCGATCCCAAGTGAGACTTTTCCAGCTGAGCCCAGTTAACCCAGAACCATGAGAAAGAGTAAATCGTTTGAAGATACAAAGTTTGGCAGTAGTTTGTCACACAGCAACCAATAATTAGGACTCATCACTTCCTCAGGGAAGCACTCTCTAGGTTAAAAGTCCTTGTTAAGGTTTCCATGGCACCTGAACTTCTGTGAGTTACACACATCACATTTGTAATTACCAGTTTCAATGTCAATATCCCCCCCAGGCAGCAACTGCCTCTTTTGCTCACCCTTGGACCTCAGAACACAACTGCAGCTCAATAAATATTTGTTGCATAAATGAATGAATTTCTTTGAGTGGCTATCTTTAGAATCACTTGACAGAGTTTTCTTTTACTCCTTTTTCCTTTGTTGTCAGTACTTCTTACTTAGAGCCCTCTCTGTACATGATTAATTCTAGCAATAAACATTAAAGACAGCTGCTGCTTTAACCACAGTCCTCCCCACAAAATCACTCCTTAATGTAATAAATGAATGAGTAGACCAGTGTGAGAAATCCAGGCTTCGCCTGTATTTGCACAGTACAAATGAAATAGCTAAAAGGAGTCACTGAGGGGAGCAGTGATTTATTCATTCCATGAATATTTTTTGAGGCAGCTGCTGTGTTCTAGGCATTGGTGACGCAACAGTGCACAGAGCGAAGCCCCGCCCCTGTGGGATTTATATTCCAATGGAACAGCTGCACATGCTTTCGCCATCCTGCCTCACCTGTTAGGGCGCAGTGAGAAGGTGAAGCAGCCCTCCATGTCCTGCATGGATGCCATCCATCCCATTCCAAATCCCAACCCTCTGCAAAGTCTTTCCTGAGGAGTCAATCCCTTTGGGTCTCTCCCCTGAATGTCTACAGCGTAACTAAATAAGCCAACTTTGTAGACTGTCTTTTCCACCTCAGTTAGACTCTAGGGCACATTCCACATCCAGGTCTGGGTTCCCCGACCTGGAACCCAGCATGGTCTTGCTCCTCTAACACAGCCTTCATGGTCTTGCTCCTCTAACACAGCCTGCACATAATTTCTGTGAACCCTTCGGACTCTCCCTAGTGGAACAGGAGTCAGCGAACATGTTCTGTAAGAGCCATTAATAAATATGTTAGGCTTTGTGGGCCGCACAGTCCCTTCTGCGATATTCAACTCTACGGCTGAGGTGGGAGAGCAGCCACAGACAGACAACATGGAAATGGATGGGCATGTCTGTGTTCTGATGGAACTGCATTTAAAAAAGAGGCAGGTAAAGAAAATATGGTATATCCATACAATGGAATATTATTCAGTCTTAAAAAAGGAGGGGAATCCTGTCACACGTTGGTTATAATATGAATGAACCTGGAGGACATCATGCTAAGTAAAATAAGCCAGTTACAAACAGACAAATACTGCATGATTCAATATACACGAGGTATCTAAAATAATGTTCATAGAAACAGAAAGTAGAATGGTAGTTACCAGTGGCTGGGGGCAGGGGGAAAGAGCAGTTGTTGAACAGGTATAGAGTTTCCTATTTGCGAGATAAAGTTCTGGAGATCTGTTCATTAGGATGGTAACCAAAGCTCAACCCCAAGAATCCCATGAAAGCATCAAAAGGTAACAGGAGGGAGAATCCGTGTGGGGCTACTTTCTAAGGAGGAAATCTGCCATTTACATCTCACTGGGCAAGGCTAACTAACAGCGTGACTCCGGCAGTCCTCTCATGCAGAGGCAGAAGCAGATATGAGCAATGAGACCGCCGGCCCCCACAGAGATGCCCTGGTTCCCCCGAGCTGTTCGGTAAAGTGCCGACCTCCTTCCACTGGAGTAAATGGCTCGCCGTCAGAATGGAATGAGTGCTGAGGGGGTGTCTGGGGCCTCGTAATCTTAGAAGCAGCTGGACTATGGAGAAAAATGCAGTGCAAGGATACTTAGGATAAACTTCCTGCCAATCCTTTTGAAATCAAGGGCAATTTCAAGGATGGTCAGCACATGTGGCTTTCACATGCTCTTCGCTTTGGTTAAGGCTGCGGCCCACTGAGACCTGTCTGCGACTTACATAATGCGAAGGACCCACCGCCAGAGGGTCAACCTTAGTAAGATGATATGTCTGGACCATGAGGCTACATGAGACTCTGATTTTTCATGGTGCTTTTTGTCACAAGGACAAAGTAAGTGTGTTGGTGAAGTACAGAAAGGCCACAAGCCGCAGGTAAGGACATGGTGCCAACGCTGACCTCATACCCAGAGCTCAAGGGGCTTTCAGAGGAGGACAGCTAGGAACCTGGGTGGATCCCACTCATTTTCATAGGCCTGCAGGGAATTTTCAATGGCTGCATTGTACACAAGTTTTAAGAAATGAGAAGTTCATTGCCATGCAATACATAAGAAGTGTAACATTTTAAAAAATAATGTGTATAGTGTTTTTTTCTAGTTCTAAAAGTAATAAATACTCATAGAAACTCTGGAAAATAGTGACAACCAAGGGGCAACATGAGTCACGATCTTATAACTCAGAGAATAAATTGATAGTTGTGCTTTGCCTAATATTTAATTGGAATCAGATTATATAGAGAGTTGGCACACTGTTTAAATGTATGCTCAAAAAGAAATGCCGGTAAATACTAACCTTGAGAAAAATAAATGTCCCAGTGTATGCTGTGCCACTTACGCCTTATGACCTGGCACAAGGCCCCATCAACGGAACTTCCCTTCCACAGCCACGCCCGGACCCCCTCACTGTGCTCCCATGGGG